AAGACATGTTCAACAAGGCTGACAAGGCATACCGGGACCACCGCATCCAGCTTACCAACTGGGATGACTTTGTCCCTACCTTGAACGGCAAGAACGTTGTCCTGGTTCCCCACTGTGAGGGCGACAAGTGCGAAGATGAGGTGAAGGCGAAGAGCGCACGGAGTGCGTTGGGCGATGGCGTTGCGGAAGATAAGCAGGCTCCTGCCATGGGTGCAAAGAGTTTGTGCATTCCTTTTGAGCAGCCCGAGGGTATTGAGCCTGGCAAGACCAAGTGCATCAACCCCGACTGTCAGACTCCCGCCAAGCAGTGGATCTTGTTCGGACGGAGTTACTAGTGGATTGACACCTCAGGAAGTGTATTGTTTCTTCGAGCATTCGGTGGCATGGAGTTTGATGGCGCGGTGTTTGCGGCATGGAGAAGCGGTTGTCGTTACACTGGTCATTCATGATTTTGCAATGTTGATATAGCTTCTAGCATAGAACCCAAAGTTCTGCCCTGCCCTGCCCTGTCCTTCGAAGTCGTATCTTCCTCAATGTACAATGTTGTTTTCATATTGACAAACGCGCAGACAGGCAAACGAATGCTAGTGCGTGAATAAGCTGAACCAACGCTCACATACCGCTTGTGAGTGATTGAGTCGCCACTTTCATCAGCTCTTTGCGACACATCACCGCCTCCGATTTTGTGTTGACTCACGTCCACGCCGCTCTGACATTCACTTACTCTCGTCATCCAACTTTGATCCTGAGTTACCCACCAACTCATACACCAAGAGCCCCCCGATCATTCTAACAGAACCTTACCGGTCGCCCAGAATGTGTCACAAACTCCTCCAAGTTTATGCTTGCGGACACCACAAAACGATCTGCACAACACCGTGTCCCCATGCTATCGCTACGGGCCGCCGCATCCCCAGCAACCGCGGAAATGCACCGGATCTGTCGCGCTCAAGTTCCGTTGTGTCTGCTATGGCGCCCTCGTCAACTGGTCCACCAGCGCGGAGAACCGATGTCCAAGATTTGCCTTCACAGCGTGCTCGTGAATCACAGGCTCACCCTTCTCCGCTGAGAGCGGCGGTGCTGGGCAGTCAAGCACAACAACAGCAACAGGGCCGGAGCGGTACTCCAGCATTCCGCTTCATGGCGCCGGGTACAGGACTAGAGGCGGTGGGTGCGGAATCAGGTTATATGCAGAGCCATCCTACTTCCCCGGTGTCAATGTCTTCAACATCCCCAACTCTGAGTCAGCCTTCACCCACTTTCTCGAACACCGGCACCCTAGTCGATGCGCCAATCTCCAACTATACGCCCTCATCCTCTACATTCTTCACGCCTGCCGACCCTGAAGTTGACGATAGGTCAGTAGCCCGTCACTCCTGTGTCCCATCTCTCTCTTTCCACGATTCGATGGCTAACATCTCAACAGTGACGTAGACCCCAACTTCTGCGCTTACCACTTTCCTCGCTACCTCCCTGGACTGAGAGTACCTTGTAAGGGGTGCTACTCGCAACCGCAGTATAAGGATCAACGCGATGCGTGGATGAAGCATTATCGCGAACAACATCCAGCAGACAAAGTTGAGGATATTGAGCACTTAAGTGGAGTGGCTGCAATTATGGAAAGATTTGGCTGATAACCATTTCCCCGTTGGAAGTGAGACGAATGAAAGTCGGTGGTGGGTATGAATCTGTGGAAAGGCTAAAGCCGTTGACTGACTTTGTACACTTTGGATATCCTCCTAGATGGGAAGCGAACCTCTAAGAAGAGGATTTGAAAAGTACAGATCAGAGCGAGAATAATTCGATTATCCTACCCTTGCAATGCATTGATCGTGCCATTGGTCATTGTCGTCTATATGTGCATCATTCGTGTGTCGTCATTCAATGCCAAAGCATGTCCAAATCGCTACAGCCGCTTGGCAGTCTAGCTGGTGTCCATGTCATCGCCGCCCTTCTTCTCCTTTTCTACTGTCTTCTTGACACCTTCCAGAAAAGCCTTGACTGCATCCCCGCCACCAAGTGGCATGCCTCCACCTCTCATATAGCCTCCGTTTTCGACATCAATTTTCAATGCCTGGCTGACAGTCGGTAGAGCACCGGTTCTCAGGGCCTCGTTCAAACTGCCTAAAGCTCCCCTCAGCTGGGGTGCCCGTAGGATCCTGCTCAGAACCTCAATTTTCTCGTCCCGACCCAATGTCTGTATGGCCATCTGCGCGGTCTCGGAGTTGGGGTCGATTTGATCGATGTCTTCGACTTCGGCTTCTAGGAGGAAAGGGATTGTCGGTAATTGGGCACACAGTGCGTCGATGGTCTCGTCGGAAGCGTTCTCAACGGTTGAGAGAGTATGCGTAGGCCAGAGGAACTCGGTAAGACTCGCGAACGGTTCTGATCCTCTTTGTTGTTGTGAGCTGCCGCCTGCGTTGCCGCCTTTGAGCGAGTTCATGAAGTCTTGCACAATGGCAGAGACATCACCTGATCCGGCTCTGTCGACGCGTTAGCGAGAATGTTCAAGAGAAGAGGCAAAAGCAAAAACGCGAAACGAGCGCCGCGGCGTGGCCAGTGGAAGACGTAGCATGATGCTTATTTTCTATTGTTGTACATGAGCAGCCAGTGCCAATCGCCATGTTTGGATGGTCTTATGCTTCTCCCAAAACGCCGTACCGTGACAGGATATCTTTATAGTTTTGTATAGAGCCGTTGGTAATTTTCACAGCAGCTCGATTCTGTCCGGAAAGGTAGACTGCGCCACGACGCCGAATGCGATACAAATAGATGGAACCTACGCTCGACCACCATCGGCACCCCCTTCTCGGGACTCTTCGCCTTCATCTCGGATATCACCGCCTGTGGCACCAGCACCTGCGCCTCCGGTGCTACCGTGGCGGTTTCGGCTAGATGGCTCTACGTCTTCCATGGTCTCATCCTCGTCATTGTTGGATGAGCTCGAGATACCTGCAAGTTCAGCCTGTACATCAATCTCCTCGCCCGTCAGCAGCAAGTCAATGACCTGTCCGATCTTGAGGTCGCGCTCGCTGAACCAACTCGCGCCGCGCGGGTGCTGCGACTTTGATTGCAACCAGAAGAGATAACGTTGTGAGCTCGAGCTGAACTTGAGGACGAAGATGCGGCCGTTGGTGGGCGACTTGATGTTCTCGGGGTCATCGATGGAGTCCTTGCCGGTGTAGGGTTGGAAGGAGCCGTCACCGGGGATCATGATGAGGTCGAGGTCCGACTGGTCGAGCGAACGGTCGCGTGGTCGCCAGCAAAAGTGCACGAATTCTGGATATGTAAGTTGATGAAGAGGCTAAGTTGGTTGCAAACAAACCATCTTCTCCTTGGTACAGGTAGACATAGCCGGGTGTCGGTACTGGCTTGACTGTCTGCTGGTTGCCTTCTCCGCGCTGTGGCTACTGTTAGTGTACGATCTGGATTGTCGGTTCCCGCGACGCTTACAGTCAGCTCACACTGGCCGGCCTTGAAGGTGATGAGCGGTTGGATAGACATGTCTGCGGTGTGTGTTGGTGTTGGGGCAGTGATGTTCAGCGGCGGTACCGCGAGCATCGCCGCAAGCTGCAAGCTCCACGCGGGTTACGTAACCAACGGAACAACTCTCGGCCCGGTCGCGCGTATCGATTGGACAGCTTGGCACACACTCGAATTCACGAAAATCGATTCCATCGCCAACACCACCGACCAGCACTAACGACCACAGCGAAACGAAATGGCGGCCAAACAAGAGGACACGAAGCCCACCACCCAGAAGTTCTCCAAGGGGGAGAGGTCGATACCGCACCACTCGCAGAAGGCCAGCAAGTACTACCCTGCTGAGGACGTTGCTGTCCCCAAGAAGGTACGTTCGCGATAGACGATGGTTTGCACAGAAGAGATGGACTGCAGGGGTGCTGGGTGCAGTCACTGCGACAGCATGCGGCGGGTGTTTGGGTGCAAGGACAAGAATCAAGACATCAATTGGAGCTCCGCTAACTGCGACTCAAGGCCCGCAAGTCTGTCCGCCCTGCGAAGGTCCGCCAGTCTCTCCAGCCCGGTACCGTCGTCATCCTCCTTGCTGGTCGCTTCCGCGGCAAGCGCGTCGTCGTCCTCAAGCACCTTTCCCAGGGTGTCCTCCTTGTTACCGGTCCCTTCAAAGTCAACGGTGTTCCCCTTCGCCGCGTAAACGCCCGATATGTCATCGCTACCTCTACCAGCGTCGACCTGAGCGGTGTAGACGAGAAGGTTGTGGAGAAGTGCAGCCAGGACGGCTACTTCACTAAGGACAAGGCCGCCCACAAGCCGGGTGAGGATGCTTTCTTCAAGCAGGGCGAGAAGCCCGAGGTACGTGCACACAATGGAAGTGCAATGCGACAATACTGACAAAAGCCACAGAAGAAGGAGACTTCCAAGGACCGCGTCGAGGACCAGAAGGCCGTCGACAAGGCTCTCCTGGCCACCATCAAGAAGGAGGCTCACCTCGCCGACTACCTCGGTGCCAGCTTCAGCCTCCGTAGCTCCGACAGGCCTCACCAGATGGTCTTCTAAGCGACGGATAACGATCGGGCATTCGGCGTTCAGTGCATGGGATGAAAGACGACTTCGGCATACTGCGGCTGTACTAGCGGTAAACAAGAATCGCAGCGGCACGGCAGCCAATTTTTTTCATGGAGGATTCCGACAAGGCATTTACCATAAGGCTTTATATGAAGCGAGCGAATCTGAGACGGTCCAAAAGTGAACATTTGGTCTCCGCTTGCGTGATGTCATAGTTGGGCGTTCAATTGGCGCAGTACATACTGGGTGGTAATCGAGTACTGATGCAAGGAATAGAGATACAGACGTTACATTCTTCGACCGATACTGCGCCGACTGCCCACGAACTCCCAGCGACCAGACGTGAGGGTATCAGAAGCGACCGCTAACCAAGGACACTACCACCGAACCAATTGCGCCAATGCCATACGTACGCAGACCTCGTTACATGACCCTAGGCTCGCCGCTTGACCTACTTACTTCTTTCCCCTTCCTTTCCTAGCCTTGCCAAACTTCCCCGCCAGTCCGTTCGCCGCTTCCCCCGCGCCATCTATAGCTTTCCCCGCCTTCTCCTCCACGTTGTGCTTCTCCATCTCCGCTTTCAGGTCCTCGACGACATCTTTACCAATTGTTGTCCCGTGGCACCAGTCCAAAACACCCATGCATCCGTAATTACCCTCTCCTTCACTCATCATGTGCGCATCGGCGCGTCGTGCCATGCCTCGCAGCATGATGGTTGAGGGTAGGACATTGTACCCAGAGTACACGAAGGTCTCTTCTAGACTGAAGATAGCGATCAGGATCAAGTAAGTGAGGATATGCATCCGTAGAGCAATTGCTGGAAGGTATAGAGGTAGGAAGCGATGCAGGAGGTGGCAGATGGGGTGGTCGTAGTTTGCGGCAAAGGAGTAGGGGATCTTGATGCTGTGGTGCCAGTTCTGATGCAAGTCCGAGAGTGCACCGCCGGTCGGAGAGTGCAGCAGATGTGTGTGGATATAATATTGCAGAACCTACGACATGTCTGTTAGTACATCTTTGTTAGGCAACGCAATCATGGTATCTTACGTTACGAGACAACAGTCCGATAATACCATGTTTGACCATCGTCCATGGGTTTGGTAGGTGATTCAATCCCCATCGACTGCCTTTGATGAGGAGCAGACTCCTCATCTGCAGTACGTCTGTGATCAAGAACTCAATACCCGCTTGCAACGCCACACTGAGCAACACATTTGCACAGCTCCACGCAATCACTCTTCTCACTGCGCGTGCGCCACCCTTTTGATTATTTGGAATACCCCATTGTCCCTGAGATTTGAACTCGATTGCTAGACTTGGTAATCCGATATCGAATAGCAAGAAGATCAGGCTGGGGATGATGTAGAGAGATAGTCGAATTACTAGGGGCGCAACTAGCTCAAGTTGAAGAGGAGAATAGGATGCGGCGATTGTCGTCCATGCGACCGAGAGGAAGATGAGGTTTAGGCCTGTCGACCATGAGGATAGCATAGGAATGGCCAAGAATGAGCCCAGCGGTAGGGCGATAGGCGCAAGGATGGAGGAAAGTAATGCGCCCATGCCGAAAAGACCCTCAAGTAGGTTTTGAGTATATTCTAGTGATGGAAGGGTAGTAAAATATGTATATGCGCATCGATCATGTGAGGTGGGGATTCTGCGCGCGGTAGATGTTTGTGGGCTTGCGCTTGATTGCGATGTGAGCGATGACGTAGCGGCGGTGCGCGAACTTGGTTCACGCTGCGTCCGCGTGGGAACGCGTCCGCGACGTAAGCGGGGCGCCCATTCTTTCAAGACCCATGCATGTGAATGGACCCTGGAAAACTCCAACCTTCTTTCCGTGAAACAGCACCAGTAACAGTTTATACAAGAGAGCGATGTACTCGCAAAAGCAGAAATCATGTGGCGCTACGCCCATGCGATACGGTCGCTCAGCATTGCCCTTAGATTCTCATCACATAGTGCTGCCTCCCGCATCAATCATCCGCCCTCCGCCGCTGCTACAACCGAGATGTTTATCAGTCCTCCCCTATCGCTGGCACGTTGCGCGACACCTCCATCCACAACCCTCATCCTTTCAGTCTCACGTCTGACCCTCGACCTTCACGCTCTGAGTTCATCCTACTCCGGCAGTCCAAAGTGGCTCCTCATCTCCTCATATTTGATTCTGTATGACTCGGCTTCTTCATACCTTTTCCTCCAGAGTTGTGCTTCTTCCTGAGCTGTCCGCGCTGCGATCTCAGCATCCCGAGCGAGACCTTCCGCGATCATAAGCCGGATGTTGAGATCGAAAAGCTTATTTCGCAGTCCAGAGCCGTCTCGCTCGTCGGCATCGTTCGCTTCATCGAGTGCCACGATCTGGTCTCCACAAGAGTGGACTGGCTGTGGATGTCCAAGTTGGGTCTGTAGCTCAACTTGGGAGCGTAGTATTTGGGTCGTTGTGGGATTATCGATTGGCGGCGGACTGGGCGACGGGCTGCTGAGCACAGTATATGATCGGCTTGGAAGTGGGTCGTTCGCGATTTGCTCGAAAAGGTAGGGAGGCCTCTCGGGATAAGGTGCTGAGCTCGACTGTTAGTTACTCGGAACTTATTGATGGCTGATTTTAGACATACACTGGTAGTTTGCTGGTGCGGCCAGCACACTACCAGCTCCTGGTGGGAAGACCGTAACGGATGGGGTCGGAACCGGTTCTGGTCTCTGCGTAATCGCGTTTGCAATAGCCCGACAAGCGTGAGGAAATCTAGATACGAATCTGTGGAAGACATCCGAGTCGTCGATCACGCCTTTGCTCCAACCATTGGCGAGGAAGTAGTAACGTAACATGGCGTTAAAACAAGCAATTTCTGTTCCGCCTTGGGTCGGCAGGATGACACTGAACGGGAACTTGAACCTCCACCACGAGACGTTCTCTTCGGCGAAGACCATGTGACGAATTTGTTGCTCCCCTTTCCGGTTCTTACCGATGTATCCGAGCTGTATACGGCTGCCTGCTAGCCACGCGAGTACGTCGGCTGGTTTTCCGGTCTTGGTGCGGGTGCTGCCTATCACAAGGCTCTTGAAGTCGTTGTCGTGGTTGTACCCACGGACGATGTTGAACTGTACATGGAACGCTTTCGCATCGGGAAGCTGTCTGAATTGTTCAGGGAAGTCGCGGAGTGCCCATGTCTGAACGTCCTTGAAGGTGAGTCCGGTGGGCGCCATGGTGTTGCTGTGTGCAATTAGAAGGAGTGAGCGTGTTCCTACGATAGTCCTCGCAGGGAAAAACGAAGCTGTAGAAGCTCGCGCCCAAAGTGGGCTCATCTTCATCGTGATATAACGACTGGAGATGCCAAAAGTGGTTAGTGGCCTCACCGAGGCGCGCCAGTGGAAGCGATTGAGGGAGGAGCGATGAGAGGGAAGCAGTGGACAACCCCACTTCATACAGCTACGCCAAAAGTGAGAGAGGACACCTCACTCTAGCATCAGATCTGGGGATTGTGACAGAATTCTGATTTACTTGTTGTGGAAACATGAGCGTGTTTTGCAGCCCTATCGGTAAGTGGTCTTTAGAACCCTCGAGCTTTGGTTCTTGGGCAAGTCGATTGCCTACTGTGCGATCCAACAACGCTTTCTTCTACATTCCGCGCATCTATTCCTTGCCATTGCGATAATATCCCCTTCTTGTCGCACTTTCCACGTTGCGATGGCACCTTCCAAACATTGAGTAAGCCAGACCGCTATCCTTGTACAGAAGAAGACGTCATCTGCAGCAAGCATTACTCCGACTTTCTGTGCCACCCTCAAAACACAAAGCTGTGGCATATGGCAATCGCCAGGCTCAATGAGCCGAGTCCATAGCGATGCGGCGTTTCTCAAACTCTTCTTGCTTGACCAAAGTCTCTTGCTTTCTCATCTGTGTCTCCAGCTCTTCGACCTTCTCCTCTAGCTTCTTGATGTGAGCCACAGCTGACTCATTCGCGACCCTATGCAGAACTGTGGCGTTTTTTGACTTCATAGCAAACTCGATCATGGTATGCAACTTGCCGCCCAGGCCGCTGTTCTCTTTCTTAAGCTCTTCGTGCTCAGTTGTCAGCCTTTCAACCTCACCTTCGAGTAGAGTAAGGTCGTTGAACAGAACTAACACTGCTCCGAGAGCCGTGTTGGTGCGATCTACCTGGACTGCCTTGAAGAAGAAACATTCATTCCAAAGAGTCTGGTGCCGCTGTTCCATGTCATCCCGCTCCTGAGTAATGGCGTCAAGCCGGTCACTCATGACCTTCTCTCTATTCTCTGAAGTAGTCAAGCGTACCTCTAGGGTAGCGAATTTGTCCTCAAGACGCATTGTCTTCTTTTGTCTTACACGCAACTTCTTGATCTCGCGTTGTAGATTGGCGATGTTGGTATCATCGTTGAGGGCGCTGCGCTGCTGGTTCTCGTTCAAGGCACGGCTTGTTGTGTCATTGTCGTTTGTGTTCCCTTCCTCGCCGGATCGCTCGTGAGCGCCGTTGGAATCTTGAGACATGTCAGAGGACTCAGGAAGTCCAGTGATACGTTGTTCGACAGAGCCCGAAGCTTCTTCTGGGGTATTGCCTATTTATGGTCAATGGTTGTGCCATCGGGAAGAAGAAAAGTTCATTTCTGACTTACGCTCCTCCAACATCTTCTGATGTTGGCGATGACATGCGCGTGCGAAGTTCCATTTGAACATCTGATCATCACATTCTAGAGCCTTTACCACCCCTTTCGCCGCAAGGTAGTATCTGATGGTCGCCTCTATCTCAAGCGCGATCTCGACAGGGGTGGGGCATTGACGGTTACCCAGCGAACACGAAGCGAACGCGTCCAAGAACGTCGGCCCATAATCTTTGAGCCATTTGAGCAAGTCGAACTTGCCGCCAATTTGCTCACCACGGATCGGACAGGCCATCAGCGAAGACTCTTGAATGAATGCAAGCACAGTGATCTCTCCAGTGCCAGGACAGAGCCGCTCGGCGGCCGTGCAAGATGGGTCGAAGCTCGTGAATGCGATGGCTTTTAAGATTGTGGATGTCTCAGCAATATCCAGAAAATAGGTCTCAAGATCGTCCGGGTCAGGCAGTGTCTCGAATTCGACAGGGCAGATGGTCCTCGCCCATTCACAAACCGCCAGAGCATCCTTGAGCTGACACTGAGGCGTTTCAGGAACCAGCATGATAGCACCGGGTAGCGAACGTCGGGTATTCGGTGTAAGAAGGCGATGCTGGACGGCGATGAATATCGTTCAATCTAGTGTCAAGGGCGAGGAGACTGTGCGAGACTAGTAGAATGTGTGGCCGTTTGCACTGCGCGCTCGGTCACCGCTTTTCAAACATTCCGCGCGAGCGCAATGCTGCTTTAGGAAGGGGCGTGTAGAGCAACTAGTCCAAATCTCCATGCCGTATATGCACAATTCGTGATTTCCGTCTTCTTTCTACGTCTTCACTGAGCTCTAATGGGAGGGCATCTTGATAACAGCCTCCGATGTACTGCCACGCTCAGCCACTGCTAGGTCATACTAGTTGAATATCAGTGAAAGCACTTGAATGCCGATAATGCCAGGCATATTGGAGTTCCATACGGGGGCCGAGGTCAGGTATGCGGTAACTTCCAGTAAGGATATTGCCGCCGCTCCTACGGAGCAGCCCGAGAACCTCCCGGCTCCTGTTTCGTCTGCCAGTTCCGAGCCGTCTGAGACTACGTCGGCGCCTCCGTGGGACGATTCGTCGTCATCGAGAAGGGCGCGTAGAATGCTCTAGGCTGTCCTTTCGGTAGTATATTGATATGGAAGTCGGGACAGTAGCGAGCTTACGGTATGCCTAGATTCTGTTGCTGATCTCACATGTTCGTGCGTAGTTCTCTGCCATTTTGACCTGAAGAGTGGACTACGAGTGAGGTGGCTCAATCAATAGAGAGATAGACATCCCCAGGTAGTCATAGACGTGGGAAGTAGACTCGCGTGTTTTGGCTTCCGAAGGGGAGAGAGAGAGAGAGAGAGCGAGAGCGAGAGACTGCTGTTGCCAGTAAAATTGACATCGTAGTCTACCTAGGTAATAGTTTACAGACGCGATACTAATCAGGCTATGCTTCGCTCTGCCAGGAGCCTATCCTAATTCAAGTGGTGTATTCTCTACCTGCGCGTACCTAGTGGGGAGGATGCAAGGTGCACAAATATGCATATGATCAAAGTGAGGAAAGAGATAGAACACCATAGATGCTTGAGAGATGGCGCGCAGCCCAGCAGGCCGATTAACGGCGGGCGATGCCCGCCTGGCTAACTTGTAGCATCTATGAACACGTCGCTTTGTAATGAACACGCCCTATCGGGTTGACACAATGCTGGCGCGCCCTACGAAGTACATCTTCATAGAGGCCGATGCAGTAATTCATCAGAAATGGAAGGCGACTGCGTCTGCCGCGTCGAAATGGAAGTCGCGAACTGAGACGATAATGACGTGTGCGGGGAGCGGGGGTGTCACCTCGCAGATCACTCGGAATTAACGCCGTGTCCGAGAGTATTTATCATCAACGGGTATGCCTCTCTTGAGATAGCTTGCTTATATTGAGCCGACCACCAGCCCATCTTTTGTGATTCATGACGCTGGCATCACACACTCTGCGCTCGACGAATCTACTCTCCAGATCGACAACACGACTTGCAGCCATCAATTCGCACATTGCTCCAAGAGCATCCATCATCAGAACCATGTCTTCACTCCCAAAGACTATGAAGGCCGTGTACATCGAGAAGACCGGTGGAACGGAAGTCCTGCAGTACAAGACTGATGTACCGGTTCCAGAGCCCAAGGAAGGCGAGGTCCTGGTCAAGAACGAGTTCATCGGCATCAACTACATCGACACGTGAGCACCCCTATCCACCTGCTCAGAAACCAAGATTTCATGCTAATCTGTGGCCAGCTACTTCCGCTCTGGTGTATACAAGCCACCGCAGTTCCCGTATGTTCTCGGTCGGGAAGGCGCTGGAACCGTCGCTTCCGTCGGACCCAACGCACCTTCTGATCTCAAACCGGGTGCGCGCGTAGCCTACATGGCGCAATCCGCGTACGCAGAGTATACTGCTGCACCAGCGAACTACACAATTCCGCTCCCTGATTCCATCTCCACCAAGACAGCCGCTGCCTCGCTCCTCCAGGCACTAACCGCCGTGACCTTGATCCGTGATGCTTACGAAGTTAAGGAAGGCGACTGGATTCTCGTTACCGCTGCAGCTGGTGGCGTAGGTTTATGGCTGTGCCAGTTGCTGAAGGCTGTCGGCGCAAGAGTCATCGCTACAGCTAGCACAGAAGAGAAGAGGAATCTGGCAAAGCAGAACGGCGCAGAGGTGCTACTGGAATACCACGAGGACAACCGAGACGTTTTCGTGAAGAAAGTCCTAGAGACTACTGGGGGCGAGGGTGTGCATGCAGTCTTCGACTCTGTGGGCAAGTCCACCTTTGACAGCTCGTTGTCTGTCGTAAGGAGGAAGGGTACGATGTGCTCGTTTGGAAACGCATCGGGACCAGTTGAGGGTTTCGCTCTTGCGTGAGTCTTTCTTGTACTATTCATGAGGAAAAGTAGCTGACACATCGTCTAGTCGCTTGTCAGCAAAGAACGTGAAGCTTGTCCGCCCTACGCTATTTAACTACATCGCCACTCGCGAAGAACTGCAGACGGCGGCAAAGGAACTGTGGAACTTCATCGAGAAGGACGGACTAAATGTCAAGATTCACGACGTGTATCCGTTGAGCGAGATTGTGCGTGCGACCCAGGACATCGAGAGCAGGAAGACAACTGGAAAACTGGTGTTGACACCGTAATTGGCGGGCTCGTGAGAAAGTATCACGAACTGGCTTTATGAAGGGCGTGGGAGAATTTTATCAGCTCAGCGCTTCCAGGAATCAAACACTCTGCACATCGAATACAAAGATTGAAAGCCTTTTCCCTTGAAGCTCAGTTGACGCCATCGTTATGCACCGTATTCCGCCCGACGCCAAATTCCATGTAATGCATGCTGCAGAAATCCACCAAACTCCTCGTGAAGATGAAGAGCACCCTCAGCCCATATTACCGACCATCTCCTCAAGCTCTACGCGCTGTGACTGAGCCACTCCCGAGTCCCTGCTCATAAGTACGCTAGCGATTTCGTTGGCATGGCAAGTACATTGCTCGCAACCATCGACACAGCTCACATCAACTGGCGTATGCAGCTCAGATGAAGTCATCGCTGCAAACAAGAGAGTCAGCTGGCTCCGCTAGTAGATATTCAGTATGCTGATGGAGATGTTGGGGAGTTGCAGGGTAGGAAGACTTACGATCTTGAACGGCGTAGCTGTCGTGGTGGACATCCTGAGCATCTTCCTGGTGGTCAAGCGATTCCTGGGCGTCGACGAAAGAGTCCTCGCCGTCGTCGTTGGTCTCTTCCTTCTTGACGATATCCTTGGGCCTAGGCTTGGGGATGACCTTCATCTTTTTCTTGCCGATCTTCGCGCGCTTGGGCTTGGTATCTAGGAGCTCATCGTCCTCACCTTCGCCCTCGTTGTCTGGCTCAGGCTTGACCTCGGCTTCCTCATCGGTAGCGGCGAGCTTCTTCTTCGGCGAGGCACGCTTGCGCTTACTGACCGGGCTAGTTTGAACGTCGTCCTGATCGTCGCCGGAAGAAGTGGTAGCCTTGCGAGGCTTCCTGGCGGCCGACTTCGGAGTACCCTTGGCCTTGGTGGGTGTGTTCTTGACGGGCGAGCGAGGAGTGCCTGCATCGGGAGCGGTTTCGTTGTCCTCGAATACCTTCTTCATGCGAGAATAGCGCTTGGACGCCGCTCCAGAAGTAGTATTGGCCTTGGCTGCGATTTCACTCCAGTTTGGGGGCTAAGAAATTATTGTTAGTGGCTGCTGGTTTCTCGAACTATGTGGCTGAACGTGAATTGGTGCTCACCTGAGTTCGCTTATGGTGCTTGACACAAAGCCAGAGGAACTGGTACGTTGTACCTCCGGGAACCTCGTTTCTGTCCATGGACTGCTTAAGACGCGACCATCGCTTTGTCACGGCGCTTTTGTTGAGGTCGAGCGCGGCGGAGACGGCATCCCAATCAATCTACAATGAGTTAGTATACGGGACTTGAATGAAGATGCAAACCAAAAAGGGAGACGATGAGACTTACGACAGGGCTGCCATCGTTGGTTAGGACCAAGTATAGATAATTGATATTCTCTGCTTCGGTAGGCATCTTGGAGGTGGTAGTCGAACAGAATCTTGATGCGGGGAAACTGTTGGCAGATTTGGTATGAGTTGGAGTGTCGTTGTCCTAATCTCACGCGAAATTGTTGAATGTAGGAGTGAGAGAGGCAACTGACAATTGAAGTCAGCTATAGACCCACATTCCCTTGGTGAAGGCGAGATCTCACAAGGCAACGACAACAGGCGACACGCTAACACACTTAGCGCCGTTTTCCAAGCCAACGTAGAGAAATAGTAGTGAGGAAGAGTCTGGGAGAGTCTTGGTGAGAGTGGTAGGCGGCTATGGATGAGGTAGTAGCGGCGGAGGTTGACAAAGAAAAGCACATGCTGCTGCGACGATGGACGCCAAACGCCAACGGTCATGTTGAAAATGTTTGCTGTTTGCGAGGCGTGGTGTTCCATTGTTGAACGCAACCCCAATGCTTAAGACACTCCTAAACCTACAGGCTGATCTTCTTCGCCGTCCTGTTCACTGATTCCATTCCCAACCAACTCAGTGAAATCCAGTCCAACCTCCCTCAGCATCTCAGCATGTTCATGTGCCAATCTCAAGCACTCGTTCCACACATTGCCGCCTTCATCCACGCTACTTAGCTGCCTTTTTAATAGTATGTTGAATTGGTCGATGTGCTCTTTTGACCACTTGACGCACGCGGACATGAGCTGTTGTGGGAAGCACTTCTGATACATGTCGACAGTGTTCTTGATGATGGTGAAATAGATATAGGAGATCTGGAAGATATAGTCTGGGAGATTGCCTTCGAATATGCATTGCCTGAAAGGGTCAGTGGATAATTTGGACTTTGGTGGAGTGGAGACATACCGCGTGCGAGTTCTGATCAGGTTACCGCGAGCTTCCAGATAGGCTTCTCGTGCGCGGTCTTCGAAGCCTAGTTGGACTACCCAACTCACGTGTTGCCTGACAGAGGTGAACCAGTTGTTGTGCTCTACCATGTGCTTGACCAAAACATTCGCAAGCTTCGCAGCGCGCTCATTGACCTTGTAGGTAACGATTGTCTTGGCCATCTCATTGCTTCTAATGTTCTTTGCAAGTGCCTTAAGCCGATCCACTTTCAGGACTGCCTCCTGGAAATGTTGAAGCGCGATCTCAATATCTAAATCGTCTAGTTGACTTTCTACCCATCGGATATTGCGCTGTTGTCCATCAATGTCAACAAAAGTACTGACTTGTTCGTTATTGATGCCGTCTGAGAGATTGTCCAACAACTCTGTCCTGTTCATGAAAGCAGGGTCGCGTGAAAGAAGGTGGCTGTAGGAATCTTGCGTTCGGTCTTTCTCCTGCACATCCGCTTCTTGGCTCTTGCGCAGGTCATCCTTCGTCTTGCGGAAAGTAGCCACGAAAGCGGATTTATCACCACTGTCTTCCTTCTTGGTGTCGTATGTGAAAGACTCAGATCCAGCGCGTATGATGATGCGCTCTTCTGGCGTCCTAATCACTTGGGTATCCTGTAGGGGAAAACATCTCTGGGCAGTAAACTCCATATTCGCCCTGTTGCCATCACGCTGTCCAGGAACATCGTTGCGTGCCTTTTTTTCTGATGCGATAAGGAGATGATCATTCAGTAGCAGTAGTCTCACTCTTCGCCTTGCCTTGAGGGTTGCAGAGTCCAGTTCGAACCATCTCGTTGACTTCCAAACGATATATCGTCCGGGGATAGGTGGTAGATACTTCTGCGAGCCCTCAACGTCCCTGTAAAGCTGCTGTAGCTGGCCTGCGCGCAATTGATTGAGATCTCCGATCGAACTTCGGTTAGCTCTTCGCGAGCTCGCGGTGTCATTGGCGGCACCCGTAGCTGATGCTGTCTGCTCCAAGGTCGTTGTCAGGTCAGACATCAACTGACGAAGCGTCCGCATCTCGCCCTTGAGCTTCTCTGCTTCTTTACTGATCTTGATAAACTGTGTGCGGTTTTGGTATACGTTGTGCTGGAGGTCGAGTGATGTACGATGCTTTGTCTTGCGCAGCTCGTCCTGGTAGCGGCTGATGTCTGCTTCAGAAGCGTCTGCGAGAATAGTTGATACATCTGTGCGAGTCAGCATGTATGCAACCAAATCACCAAATGTTGGCCTTACATCGCTCTACTTCCAGGTTGGGGTCCCGCAATGCGCGCGGGTCGACTTGCAGGACCCGTCCATTGGAGCTTCCGGGCGGCCGTCCCTCTCTCGTCTGGCTCTTCTCTCTGTACTGAACGGGCATTTGCGGCATCTGCGGCATAGGCTCCCCATTCCCAAAATCGCTAGGAAGCGTCGTGATCTTCTGGGAGTACCTCCTCTTGACGAGATCCGCCGTCTTATCTGGCCGCTGCGGTCTTGGCTGCGATGGAGGGCCATCCTGTCTGGTCCTCGATCGGCTGGATTCGTTCGAAGGGCGCCCGGAGCTTGGGAGTGAAGCGGCGGCAGCAGCAGCGACGCCTGCGGGCATGGGCGCACTAATCTGTCGCGGCGCGCTGATGGTGGGCGGCGGCGCGTTCTTCTTGCTCTTGTCCCCCCGCTTCTTGCGGAGAGAGATGCCCTTCTGTTTCTCTGACATCTTGCCTGCAAGATCCACCGAATATTGTGGTGTAGGAGCGCAGCACTTTATACAAGGATGAAACGGAACAGGTGCCCTAGAGCCTACATCAGCATGAGAACGAAAGCTAGCCAACCCCAACGCAATGTAGGCTTCCAGGTCATTTACCTCTAACACTCGTCCAATTCCTGCGTCGAGTGGGCCGGGAGTGGAGTTGTGGTCAGTGGTAGCGAGGGCAGCTGCGCCATGAGTGCGCGTCCGTGGATGTTGACAGGTACTCGTAGAGCCCCGTCATGCGTGGAGCCGCGGTCTCGAGTGTGAGCTCGGGCCCACTTTGGTGAATCGTGCCTTCCCTGAACACTGAGAAAAAGTTAAACACCACACCACATCACCGCCATCACCTGCCGCCAATTCAAAGGGCTCCAGCTGCTCCTTCCCCGCCTAATTGCGCTTTTCACTCCCACGAATCGCACCACCATCATGTCCAACTCGTCGTTAAAACCATCGACCATTGCGGCCATTAGCGCCGGCACCATCGTCACAGGCCTTCTCGCATACGCCGCCTACTTCGACTACAAGCGACGAAATGACCCCGGCTTCCGCAAGCAGCTCAAGAAGGAGTCGAAGCGAACAGAGCGGGCGGCCAAGGAGGAGGCCGAGGCACAAGGCGCCGAGCAGAAGAAGGCGATCCGAGAGGCGGTAGAGCGGGCAAACGAGGAGGGCTTCCCCAAGGACCCCGAGGAGGTCGAGGCGTACTTTATGCAAGAGGTTGCGCAGGGAGAAGGAATGGTGCAGAAGGGTATGGTTATGTACGGCCCTCTTGGTGGGACGTGGTGCTAATTGTTTGCCAGGTGCGGACAACGTCGAGGCGGCGCTATGCTTCTACCGCGCATTGAAGGTCTACCCCAACCCGCGGGAATTGATCAACATCTACGATAAGACCGTTCCCAAGGTACGTTGCTGCTCTTCGCCATGAACTGGCGACGGCCCGCTAACACCCGACAGCCCGTCCTCGACATTCTCGCCGAGATGATCGCAGTTGACACGTCAATCCCCGTCGGCGGCAGCAAGACGCCGTCTGAGGCTGGCTCGGCAGGCGACCTCGAGTAAAACACTGCGACGATAGTACTTCGATAAATTCAGCAAGCATTCTTGGACCCCGCTCCACATGATAACGGCCCCTGTAATATTCTTGTATATGGATCAGCATCGGCGCAGTCGGTCAATTCTACGGCCGGCGTTCTGGTTGAGCATGATTCATGTGGCTGGGGCGGCGTTGGGATAGATGCGGGCTTCCAATGCATACAATCCAAACAGCACTCGGCATCTCTCCATTGACGTCATGCAGTGGTACGCATGGGTACGCACTGGTATACTACAGATTACGTTTCCGACGTTAAGATGCATGCGGCCCATGCCCGAACGCCTTGCTGACAATGACTTTCTCAGACTTGCAAAACATCATCCCAAATAATTACAGTACGCCCTTAAGCGAATGAACCGAAGTTGATTGCCAAACGGCTATGTCTTGTTTAACATGAGCACGAGTTTTCTTGCGGTGGCTGGCTGGGGTTGATGTTCACGTCGATCACTGCATCTTGGATTAGCATGGCGTTCACCGCAACGATGTGTACGTCGAGACGTACTCTGACTCTGCCCTTGTTGGCCTTCGCCCTCCATGCCCGGTAGCGCCTGCGCAATTCTCTTGAACAGCGCCTTTACGTTGTGTCCGACCTTCGCGCTCGTCTCGATGAACATCAAGTTGTTCTTCTTGGCTTCTTCTTCACCCTGCGCCGTTGTAACCTCGCGCTTGTCGTTCAAGTCGGTCTTGTTGCCCACGAGCACAATAATGACATCGTTGCCGCGCTCGCCTCTGACATCGTCTACCCATTTTCTTGTGTTTTCAAACGTCTTCTTGTTTGTGATGTCGTATACAACCACGGCTACGCTAGAATCGCGGATGTAGGAGGGAATCAGGGAGCGGAATCGTTCCTGGCCGGCGGTATCCCAGAGCTGCAGGCGGACAGTCCGATCCTCGAGGTACATGGTCTGCGGCGAAGATTAGATGTTGCATTGGATTGCCATATCTATGGCGGCTTTGCAGCGAGCATACCTTGCTTAGAAAGTCGATGCCGATGGTGGCTTGGTAGGTGTTGTCGAACGAGTCGTACATGAAGCGGGTAATTAGAGACGTCTTTCCCACTGCGAAGGTCGATTAGCACGTGTGTCGCAAACCGCTATATCTGCGATAGTATGCATACCACTTTGTTCGCCCAGGAATACGAGCCTGCAGCCGGTTAGTATACGAAGTTGGTCTCCGCCGCGGAGGACAGCTCACTTGAACTTCTTGAGCGGGTTTGAGTAGCCTGACTGCGCCATTGTGACTGGAGGTTGTAGATTTTGAGAATATCGGAAGTCTCGAAATGTGTTATCGCAGAGGACCAGAAGCAATATCCCGGCCG